ACCAAAAGGCATTAAGCCGAAAATCTTGAGATGCGAGTTCAGACATTCGTCACTACTTCTCAGTTTGTTGCCCTCCTGCGCTGAGCCGTGATGAAAATCGGACGTGATGTGGCCATGAAGGTGATTCCAGAATGCAAGTCAAGCAGAAAGTCAACCACGGGAATCAAGGGTTGGATTCTGAATAGCTTGCCCTGTGAGGCTCTGGATTCTGGACCCGAATGCGGCAGCAGCGTCAGAGCATCCAACAGTCCGTCCGGAAAGCCCCCTTCTGTCCTTCGAGTTTAGGTCAAGGCCTGGCATCAGGTGCCGGTAGTCCTCCTCGGCTTTTTCGGACGGCACAAGCACTGGGCCGAAACCACTCGAAGCTCCTGCATCACACTGTCGAAGAGGATCTCTTTCACTAGCTCCTGCTCTCCAGGTGCTAGAAGAGATCACAGATGCGCACAAGAGCTGCCAGGCCTCCGGCACAACGCTGTGCGCCAGAGCCTCCACGGACAACCAGCTGTCCGAATTATGGTCCACCGCCTCCTCCAGCCGCCAGTCCTCTATGTAGAACGTGCGATAACATATTGGCCGGGCTATTCTCAATGACAACCGATGACATGTAGCATGGAAGCAGGGGCGGTCCAACGTTCTGGGATGCACGGATCCCACTGCGGTACCTGCGCAAGGTCTTGAAGTGCAAAGGGCCGTCAGCGCCACAAGCACGAGTGGCTTTCCACAATCCAAACATGTTCCGTTGGAGTCCACGGGTTCTTGCTCACCCACTTGGCAACACTAAGTCACTAAGGGCACAGGCTGGAAGGAGTACTGGAACCAGTCGCGCCATGGCGGTACAACATCAAGCGGTTGTGTCATAGCATGTGGTATGCTGAATTGGCAGCACGTACGCTTGCCAAGACAGATGCAGTGCTGTACTTCTCATTCTCACTAACTGCAACGAGCATGGACAGGCCTCGGTGGACAGATTCGCAACACTTCGCTTTATGTTGCATGACACGTAGAAGCTGCTATGTAGAAACAGAAATGAGAAAACAGATGTTACTGTCTCTCCTCAAGTGGTCAGCGGAAGGTCGTGACCAGCTGCATGCAAGTGCCTTGATCATGCGAATCGTGCTTGGCATGCTCCTCGATTCACATCTCATTCTTCCATCCGAATTTGCGGCGCACCAACTAGCAGGAAGTAGGGCCAGCAAAGCAATGCTTGAGCTGAAGCAGCCGAAAACACAGGCCCCGGCGTGCGTCGAGAAGAATCCTCCTCGCAGGCACTTCTGCGGACAGGCCCCAGTGCAGCTGACCCACTGCACCTCTAGAGACTCAAGTTGGAGAAAGTTTCGTCATGAAAAGCAGGCAAGTAAGGCAATTGAGGCTTGGGAGTGGCGTTTCGGAGAGCGCGAGTCGCTCTCCGATCCGATAGTCTCGGCGGACGAGACTGTCCACTGCCTCTAGGCTCCTAGGCTCTGTGGAGCATCCCATCTCTCCAAAGCTTCAACCCACAGAGCCTGCCCAGCTGTTTCCCAAATCACTCCTCCAGCGCCAGCGGTGAGTCGGCGACCAGAAGGAGCACCTGTACGGCCTCGTCGGCCAGCACCTGCGAGGAGGAAACTTCGGATGGCAAAGCCAGCCGGGGACTTGAACACACTTGAGCCACGAGTCTTTTCCACGAACTCCTTAGCATGGAAAGCTCTGTGAGTAAGTCCACCCGACCCACCCTCTCTCGACTGACCTATCGCCTAGCCTCGTCTACTGCAGCCCACTGGCGTTGAGACAGAACGCTGCTTGGCCTCGCAGTGAGTTCACATGGCGAGGATGCAGCTACCATGCCAGTAGTTGCTATGGGGAAGCTGAGCGCCAGAGCTGAGTGCTTGTCAGCGCCTGAGAGCTCAGGGGATCAGGTGCGACTAAAGGCAGCCTGCGCACTTTTCCAAAATTCCAAGAACCCTTGTTGAGCCCCTTGCCGCAGTCATGGCGTTGCCTCCGGTGTTGAAACACTCCGAAACACCGCTCGAAGCCTCAAGTCAACAAACGTGCCTTTCGTGTCCAACACCAAGATGCTGATGAGCCCATATCGATGGATATGCCACTCCTAGGGTCAAGTCGTCGAGGGGGATTTGGATTTGTTCGGATTTGAGATCGCGAGCCTGGACACTAGATTCACTAGATCAGACCATGTTTGGCTCGCACTACATTCATGTAGGCAGAAGGAGACAAGAGCAGCTTTTGCTCACTGCTATGCAGAGGTGGAGTCGCACACATGATGTTACAGGGGGGGCCCTGCTTCTCACTTTGGGACCAACCCGCCTTACTGCTTTTCTCACGGACCGCAAAGCCACTCAACAAACAACCCTACCCTGAAAGGCTTATACAGCTAGCTTCGGGACTGGTAACCCAGCCACCCATCATCCCTGCCCCAGATCCACTGTCCTGGCCCTCGGTGTTAAAGGCATGTTTCCAACTCTCTGGAAAAAGTGTCATTGTGCCCCGAAGCACCGGCACGGCGAGCGAGCTGGATGCGTTTGGTGCCCCGCCCATCATGTGCATTTCGGGTTCAGGCAGGCGAGGTCCAGGGATGGCAAAAACCAGAAAAGAGAGAGGGCGACCCCTCAAACCTAGCAGGTGATCTTGCGAGCCTGAATCTTTGCTTGAAGGTGTCCGAGTGCGGGAGTGAGAGTACTGAAGGCGTTAAAACATGCCCCAGGACCAGCAGCAGGAAAAAGAGTAGCAGGTAGTAGGTGGCGGTAGTAATAGTCGTCGTCGTCGTCGTCGTCGTCGTCGTGGTGGTGGTGGTGGTAGTAGCAGCAGCAGCAGTCGTAGCAGCAGCAGCAATAGCAGTAGCAGTATCAGAACCAGCCTTCTCACACTCGGACAGCTCCAAGAAAGGACTTGAGAGCTGGGCTACGAAAGCCGGAGCAAGGCCGGTTAGAAGTAATTTGCACTGCCCGTTCCCTAAAGTTACTATGCCACGAAGATACCCACAGTCCAAAGCCTGCAGTCTGATGCCTGCCATCTGCAGCGACAACATCAACTGTATGAAACCTCCGAAAACGGGGAGGGAGGGTGGGACCCCCTTCCCCCTCCCCAAACATCAAACCTTTATGGCGAAAAGGGGGGGACACCGACAAGCTCCAAAGAGCTAGCTTTGGTGATTCTGGCTCGCAATGTCACCTGCTAGGTTTGGGGAGTCGCCCTGCCGAGAAGTCTTGTCTAGTTTCTGCTGCCATTCCTGGACCTCGAACACCGAAACCCGAAATGCAGATGAAGGATGGGAAACCAAACAACCCCAGCTCGCTCGCCAAGCAACCCTTTCCAGGGATCCGAAAACAAGCTTTTATTTTCAAGCACCTAAAATGCGTGGGTTCTGACATCAAGAGACCCAAGAAGAGAAAAGGTGTGCAGCATAAATGCCGGTCTTCGTATTGGACTGTACATGCAGACCTTCTATGAACAGACCCATAGTCCCGGCTCTGGCTTCCTGCGAGCCAGCTTTTAGCGATCAATAATCAAACAAGCACGTTCTCGCACACACTTCCCAAGTGAGAAACATACTTTGCCGATCACCACCTTCATGTATTCAAACCCCCCATTCAGATTGAGGGAAAAGTGAAACTGAAGGTGTGCCGGTTGTGGGGCACGCCCTCCCAAACTTCATTTATGGGGTCACACATAAGACAAACGAAGGCTGTGAGCGAGTGCACCTTCACGAACATGCATTCGGATACCATCTAATCGTACATATGAGCATGGGCACAGCGATCACCGCGAGCCTCGACCGAGTCCGAGGAAGCCTTGCCCGCCTCGACCAGAAACCTGCAATGGAACTGCCCTAAGCATGCTCTGTGCCTCTAGCAGATCTCCAGGCTATGGGCTCCAGTGTGGAGGCGTCCACTTCCTGGCTGCAGGGCTTCACTTCAAGCTGTAGGCAGAGAGCTTGCACACTTTGTTCGCTACTTGCAGAAAAGGCACCACAAGAGCCAAATTCCCTCAAAGTCTTCCGGATTGTTCGACTAAGAGTAAGGAGAGAGCTCTGTTCGTCACTGGCACGCAAGGGCTCAGCAACGGTTTCAGGCTGGTTCGCGGAAGAATGCAAACACACAGGGTCTTCATTTGGTTGTGTTTCAGATCTTGGACAATTTCAGGGATGTTCGAGTGAATGCTTCGACCGGCTGGGGTGTCAAACTCTGGATTCAAATCTGTCCTCTCCTTTTAACGGGTTGTGCCAGCCACAACTTCTTTTCGTCGTGGGGTTCGAGGTGACCTAGCTTGTGCATTCCTGTAGCACTTTCGAGGAGCTGTCCGCAGGCGCTTCTCTGTTTCCGTGCCGCACGGCAACCGGCCTCATTCTCAACGTCTGCGTCGGGCACCTCAAAGCTTACGGTCAGTGCATCAGGTCCACAGAGCCCAAATCGAGGACCCTACTGGCTGCATCCTGCAACCCTGTGTCATCCCAAAACCCTGTCCCGACATGTTCAATAATAACATCCTGAAGACTCTTGCTAGCCAGGACACCGGCTCCTGGTGCCAACCCCTGCCCAGCTGGCGCACATCCAAGCCGTAGTGCCAGCTGCCGTCCTGTCGGGGCTTTTATAGGCAACATCCAGCCTGAGAAGACTGGCCAATCAAGGCTGCTGCCCACATGGCACGCTGGTACTCACGGTACACCTGACACGAGTGCCACCACCCTGTTTCCACTCTCTTTCTGTCGGGTTCCTGGCATCGGCTAACCTCGAGTGACAGGCACAGCAGCTCTTGTATGTCGCCCAGCTGCAGACCTGCTTCTCAAGCATGCAGGGGTCTTTGAATGAACTTGCCCAGTGAATCCTACCGGCCATGTCTACGCAAACCACACAAAGAGGGATGTGCAAGTGCTTCTACTGTCGCAAGCTCACTCTCCAAATTTTGCGGAACTCGACTTGTACTGCCTCTTTCCTTCATTCCAGCAACGTCTGGGTTCCGTGCTGGCACTGAACTCCGGTTTTGCCTCGACCAGTGGCATCCACTTCAAAACGTTTGCTGCAATGACAGCTTCAGAGCGGGACTCTCGATGAGAATGCACAAGAAAGCCATGCGAACTTCGATGGAGACGATCGAGGCCGAGCAACACGAATTCTGGCTCGAGATCCACATCGCAGATCGCGCGTCTAGACACTGTAATGATTTTCTGCAACCGGACAAAGGCACAGGAGATTTTCCCGAGCCGGAGCTGCACGGCAAACTATCATTCTCGTCATCATGCCCCGAAGGCAAAAGAGGGTTGCCGGGGCGGGTGGGAAAGAAGTTGGAGCCGGCAGGCCGTGGCGATCTTTCTTTCCAAGACAGGACAAAATAGGACAAAGACTCGACGCGACGATCGAACTTGTCAGTGTGCCCTTTGATCGCAAATCGGAATGCGTCTGAGACGTGTGCCCTAGGACTGCAACAGCTGCAACCCCACGGATGCTTTGCGAGCAACTAAACTGCCTGTAAGTCGTCCGTCTTGTTCAGGAGCGTCCTTGGGCACGAATTGGTAGTGCACAAAACGATTGGCCACGAATCGTCAGCCTCCAATCTGAGCATCCGTGCTGCAGGTCAAGCGGCGGAATGAACACACTGATGTTGCTGCAGATCTCAGCTCCCAGACAGCAGATCGTGCAAAACTGCATGCAAAGATCTGCACCTCACACAGCAACTTGCGGAAATGCTCGTTTCCCCCCAACCTCGAAGCGAGATTCGGCCGCTTCTTCATTGAAACACGGAAGAGCCGAGCCGGGAACGTGGTGCGGTACGCCTCCCGAAGCCTGGCACGGGCCTCTCGAAGCATCGCCTGCTTCGGCCCCTGGCCAGGACTATGCGCAACGCCGCCACAGGAACTCAGCACATCTCAGCACCAAGCACCGCGCCTCACAGAAGCTCTGATGCTCGACCAAGCTGCTGCGAATCTGAGCACCCAGACCAGACCACAAGCAGGTCAGTGTAGAAGCACTGGTTCGTGGCATTTCACGGGTCTAAAAAGAGACTTCGCTCCTGCTCGTACATCTGCGCAGCGAAGGTGCGGCCGACATGAAGGCCCACCTGCACCTCTGTCAGGACACCTCTTTAAGCACAGCGGCCTCACCGAAGGCCTAAGCGCCTAAGGTGCCTGCCTCAGCACCCCTTGAAACCATGTGGTGCAGGTGCTGCCACGGATCTGAGTTGTTCTCATCCTTGGTCGATGTAGCTAAGGGCTGGAAAAGCACTACTTCACGGAATTGCTTAACCACGACCTGACCCGCTGAGGTACACTCATCCAGTGGCGCGGTGGACTTGTTCGATGCTGCATAGTCTCCAATGACCACCTTAAGGCTCAGAAAGAAATAAAGGTCTTCATGCCACGGGAGATTCTGAGTTGTCTGTAGGTGCTGAACGAGCCGAAGTGATTCCACTCCTGAGCATCTGATGTGTTTCGTAGGTCGCGGCGCTATCTTACAGGCTGCACTACTCCAGCCAGCACTGCGGACCAGCGTCGTGCCGGCATGGTGCGAAAGCGGAGGGGTGTCAAAAGCTCGGCCTAGCCGGGGCGAGTCGGGGCATGGGAAAGGCAACGGCTCGCTGACTTGGATCACCTCCGGGACGTTGCTGATGAAGACCATGTACCTGCTCCATTCTCGTTTGAGTTCTCTGTGACACTCTGTCGGCAAGTGCGAGGCACGGGGTCTCTGGCTCCAGCTTTTGGAGCTGGAAGGTCACGGGCGATCCAGGGCGTACCCTGGCCGGATCCGCAGAGCGGGGCACGTCGACGCGGTAAAAAGCGGTCAGCGGCTCTGGCCTTTGCGCCGTGCAGACCGCCATGCCCTGGGAAAACCAGGTCCGTTTCAGCCTTGGCTCTAGGCCCCGTCGAAGCGCTTCGCCGAAGTCTGAGGCCAACACTGGGTGGCTGGCTCTAGGGAGACCAGTGGAGGCTGATGAAGCCATTCCTGCGGCTGAGCATGGTCTCAGGGATCGGTGCAGGGATGCGCATTGCCTTCTGGGTTCCCATCAGTGTCAGCTCGTGGGTGTGCTGATCCATGTAGCCATATACCTTTGTTTGGACTAAAGCCCTTGATCTTGATGGATGGACTGCAGACTGGCAGACAGGCTCAAATACAATAAACTATGCAATGGTCTGTGATTAGTGGAAGATAGCGCAATACAATGATATTGTGCCACAACGTGCAACACACTGTCAAAACGAGAGTAAAAAGCCCCCCAGGTATCATGCACCCCGCAACAGTGCCGAAGGCTAGCGCCCCCACCTGGACGACATTGATGTTGATGTCAATTTCTTCGGCCACCTGGCATCATGCTGCAGAACTCACACGCTCCAGATTCATGTCTGCTGAAGTACGCGGCCGCTTCAAGCCGAAGATCCCAAGCCTCAACCAAAAACGATGCTGTGGTGTCCGTGACTCGCCCGATGATGGGACCTCAGGTGTTTTGGCAGAGAGCTGCCGGTCAGAAAGCACGCAGCAGGCCCCCAATCACAGACTTCAACCAATCGACGGAACCTTTCAAGCCGAGACCGTTGAAACAAGTTTGGAGCCAGATGCAATTGAATGCCAAGCTGCGTGCAACAGACGTCAAGCTGCACATTAACACCGCATGGTCGAATTCCACTGTGTGTCAGTGTGTCATGCAAGCTACCACTGGCGTGTCCTGCTTCTACAGCATTCTGCATATTGGGAAATCCGCTGCAGTTCAAGCCAGCACTTCCCTACACAATGACAGGCAAATTCGCCTCGCCGAAAAACAATTTTGCGGTGTCAATGCTGGCAAGAACGCCTCTCAGCGGACCTCAGAGTTTGTGTCGGAGGGCACCTCTGACGGGATCTGCTTGTCCTCCCAGAAAAGGCAAAGGCCAAAGCCATCCCAACAAAAAAATCCACATCTCTCAGAGGCCGCGCTGTGCTGCGCCTGCGAGGCTCCGGCCGACCCCGGAGTCGAAGTTGCCGGAGTGGGAGCCCTGGGGAGTCAGCCACGAGCAGCCTAAAGACCGTAAACTTGGGAGGTGTTTCTTGGCATTTGAGGTCCCCTGTCGCTGGACTCGGCATTTGAGGAGGAGTCGCTTGACTGCGCTCTGGGAAGAGCAAAACAACACATCACTAATAGCTTTGAGCAAACAATCTGAATCTAAGAACTCCGAGGTCTCACGGCTGCTCAGAAATTGAATCGGAAGCCTGATGTTGAAATTCTTCAAACAAACAGGAACTGACGAATTGCACCTAGTCGATGCCATACTGGTGCCCTCCCCAGCGAGCCACGCATGGAGGAGCTTCGACGTCACCTGTGAGGCTCCGCTTAGCTACTTTATTCGGTCAAGTCGCCGCAGCACTCCCCTACTCAAGATGTTCATGGATCAGGAAACCCCCAAAGCTCTTATAGCCATGCGGCTTAGTAAACTCGTATCAGTCAATGTCCGGACACTTGCCACGGGCCTCACGGCGGAGCCAGTGATTCTCAGCGGCAGTGCTCTCGAAGTGGGGACGAGCAGCCTCGTCTTTCCGCAACTGTATCAACATTATACCACTCCGCAAGAGTATGTTCATGATCTTCACAACGACTATGACGCCGCTGATGGCGTTGATGATGCCAGTGGTTGCGGCGAAGCATGGCGAAGGTGCTGCTGATGCTGATGCTGATGC